TACCCAGCTGACAGCCCCACGGACGTATGCCCAGAGAAGCCCTCTCTCCCTCCCAGACCCCACTCGGCACGCGTGTAGGCGAGGAGCGAAGTGCCCGAGGTGCTCAGCGCCCCTCTGCCCTCCCAGCCGGGCACAGGAACCCGGGAGCTCAGCCTCTGCCACCGCAGCTCTCACGGGTGGCTGCAGCCCCCCTGCTCTCGTGGGGACATGCTGCCCCTTCATGGGACCCTCCGGCATCAGGTCCCTCCTGTGCCACCTTGCACCTGGCAGAAAGGTGCTTCTGCCACCCTCAAGTCCTCCTGCCCAGCCCCTGGGGCTGCCGCGAGCATCAGCAGTGCAGAGAAGAGCAGCTTCCCAGTCTTGGCGAAAAATAAAGATTTATGGAGAAAGATCAGTTGCTCAATCTGGAGAAGTTATTTAACCAAAAGCCTGTTGCCACATGAGTGGTTGTGCCTGAAGAAGCTTTCTCTTCCAGAAAGCAATCTGTCCAGATGTCTGGCGTAAGATTTATGATCGTGAATGTGAGAACGCATTAAATGCCTGCTGGAAGAGAGATACATCCTTGCATTTCAGGGCACAAACCAAATCCTAGCCACGGAGGGATATGGCCAAGCTTTCTGAGGAAGTGAATCCCCCAAGGCCTCACGCAACCACAGCGTTTCTAGTGTCCTTCTGCAAAACCTCTGGTCCCTGCCGCTGTCGCCAGCTGGCCTGTGGCAAGGGCTTAGCCAGCAGGTTTGGTGCTGAGACTGCTCCAAAGCTCACGCTTTACACTCCCATTAGAAATAATCAAAGAGGGCACAGCTCTCAGGAATCAACACCGTGCCACTATTAATAAATCCTCTTTGCAAAGACATTTTCCTGACAGTCACCTGGGTTTACCAGAAGACTAAAGAAAACAAAAGGAAAAGCACCCAGCCAAACTCTTTTGCAGATCAGGAAGGAGAAGAAAGCACTTCAAAACATGGTGATGTTCTCTGAAAACAGTTCACCTCAACTTGTTGTCATCCTGAAAACGAGCAAGAAACTGTTGAGTTGGTCCAAAGATGTTTCTCTGGTGCGAGGCTAATCCTCAGCAGGTCAGGACGTAGAACAATAACCCACAAGGAGAGTGACTTGGAGGGAATGAGACTGGGCTGCCCAGTGGTCTGGCTGTTAGCCCGCCAGGAAATCTGCCAAATACTCTTATTTTTTTCATTTAGCCCTCAGCTATTTAAAGGCAGTCCCATCACAAGTAGAGCCTCAGGCATCCCAGCCCCGCGCTGCCAGAAACGCCGCACAGGGGCAGCTCTGACCTGGCCAAGGTGACCACCGGATCTCCTGCAGTCTTGGTTGGAAGAGGAAGCGTTCCCGTTTCTCCCAAATGGATGCAGGGGACCCAAAAATGAGTCTCTTTCTGGATGGGATCGGACAACAGGAACCCCTGGAGCAGCAATTTTGGAAGTGTGTCATGTTTGGAGCATTCTTCTGTTTCAGGGACAAGTGTGGTATCATGAGGACCAAACTCGTTTGAGCCACCCCTTCCATGCAAAGCAATGTCCTGCCCACTTCCATCAAGAAAAAGTAAAATACGTGCTGAAGTGGATGCACTTTTTTGTTTAACAAACCTTCAGTTACTGTACGAGAAAGAGGACTTGGGAGGAGTCGTCCACCTCCCCAGGCAGCGTGTGTGTGAGTGTGCGTGTGTGTGGCAGCCCCAAGGCTCTGGAAGCCACCAGAGGGGGGTGAAAGACCCACAGGAGACAAAGACCAGGTTCCATTACAAAAAGGAGGCTGCCCATGTCCTAAGTGCGGGAGTCCACATCAGAGCTGAAGAATCTGCAGGGCACATTTTAGAGCCGGCCTATATATAACCTGGACAGCTTGGGAGAGTCTATAAATTGAGAGAGCTGACAGAAAGAGATCAGGAAAGTATTCAGGACTTTTCTGTTAACTCTTCCAGAATCTGTCTGGAAGAACTGGCTGGACTTGAGCTTGCAGGAAACCCGAAATCTGTCAAAGATTTTATCAAAGCAGGAGTGATCTGCTCTAACGGAAACCACGCAAATCCCTCAGCGTGCTGCAGAAGGGAAGAGGAATCAATCTCGTAAATTTTTTTGTTTTAAGTCTTTTTCCTTTCTAATCCCTTAGAAGGGAGGTAACAGTGGTAGAAGAAAAGCTTTCTGATCTGCCATTGCAAAAAATCCCCAAAGGTGACCTAAGGTTTTCAGACGCATTTCAAGCACTTTAAGGCACGAGAACAGCTTTCAACATTGCTCCTCAACGTGCAGAAGAAAAAGTCTAGCTGGAAAATCACCAAGAGTTAGCACAGAAATCATCACCTACCACCACCCTGCACTCAGCATTTATAAAGGAGCCTGATTTATTGTCTCCTCTCCAAAATAGCCTCTACCCATCCACCTCGGGGAAACGTAAGGCGAAACCTCACACTCAAGCAGGTGCCTCCCATCACCACTGCTCGTCCTCCAGGGCAGAGGGAAAGGGCTGCTGCTCCCCGGTCCCACCACGGCCAAACCTCTGTAACCTCCTGCGGTACCTGGAGGCTTGAAAATTAAGAAGAGGCACAAATACCACTGACATTAACGATACAGCACCATCAGGAGGGATCGGCTCCGTGGCACACGACTAAGGGCAGTGCAGGCAGCCCAGGCTGCCTCCTCCCCCCAGCAGCCACCTCAGGTCACCCCGGCGTGACGGGACGAGCCCCTCTGGGACCAGCCACCCGGCACAGGCTGTTTCCTCAGCAGCTCCTCTGAGAGGGCAAGCAGAGGCTCTGCTTACTATAAATCAACAATAACCTGCTGACTTAAACAAGCATCTGCTATTTACTCTGGCTGCCCAAGCCAATCCATTTGGCCTGACACAGAATCGATGTATAGCAAAGAGATCCATCTGTAAATTATTTACTTGGCGGAAATTTGCCAAACTTATTATCTACTGACATTATTTGACTGTCCTATTATGGCAACGGGATGCTGTTGTCCTCTTATGTCACAGCCCGGAGTCTTCCCTGAACCAGCGCTACCGCACTCCCTCCTGGCATGCCTGATGAACGCGGGAAAATGTGACTCCGAGGAAGCACAGGACAGTGTCAGAATTAACCGAGAGGCGGTGTCCTGACAGCAGCAGGTGAGCACCCATCAGCCTGGGACCTCCGCTCGACAGGCACGGGAGGGGAAGGTCACGCCAGAGGCAGGAGGCCC